TGCACGCCGAAATTTTATCGAACTTAAAAACGAAAGCAGCTAAACTACCGAAAAGAATATCACAATTGAATTTTAATGCTCAATAGGTATCTATTAAGCTCTTAATATGCTGGAAATCAATAAATAAATTTATTTATTGTGAAAAATATTACTTCGGTTAGGAGTTGTACCCGGGTCTCTAACATTCCGTGCGAGATTCTAAATTTTTAGACTACTGAGGTTTCTATAGTGAAGATAAAGCAAAGAAATAATGACACTACGTATTAAAAACTATATTAACATTTATTTGGATAATTTAATACTTAAAATTAACGCTTAAACAAATTTCTGTTTAAAAAAATTTTTAAACAAAAAGATAAAAATTTTTTTTAATGTTTGATGTTTTATTATGATCTTCACCATTCGAGCTTGTCTTCTCGAAGATATCTGTATATGTTCGCTAGTTTCGTCACTTTTTCTGTTCCAAGCTTATTCCGAATAGGTATCCAAACTAATCCATAGGTTGGAAAAATTCTTTCGAGTCCCGCGCTGCTTGATGGGCACGAATAAAATCTTTTTAAAGAAATTATATTACAGATTTAAATATTACACAATATTATATAATTACACACACACACACACACACACACACACACACACACACACACACACACACATAAAGTATATTTAAATTGTTAGAAAATCTCGCGTCTGAATCATCATGTGTAATGAGATAAGAAATAACCTTCTAAATCACGTATCAGAGTTGTGACATATTTTTCAAAGAAAAGATAAGATAAGAATAACTGTGCGATAATATAAGTTCATATATACATTCAAGATAATTATAATAGACAGTATAAGAATATTCACGTAGCAATTTTACGTTCAGTCAGTGCAGTCGTTCTGTCATAATCATATCTGTACAATTTGTTAAATTGTTTTTATATTACGATACAAAGCAAAGTTTAACATTTTTAGACATGATTATCAATCCACTTAATGTTGTTAGAGGTTTTTTATTAGCATCTATAAGTTCAGATTATATCTAACAAAAACACCAGTCATTAAAGCAAAAATAGAATTAAAAGAACACATACAAAAATTATTGTTGGATAGCATTTTTCATTATAATGGGTTGAAAGTGACAGAAGAAATCTATCTCGATTATCAAGAACCTTATAAACTACATAATTCTGAAATAATTGAAGAAGCATGGAGTGAAGATAATTTAAATTCTCATCCTGGATGTTCAAATGATGACGCAGACTTTGACAGTTCTTATAAAAGACGAGCTGTTGAGTACTGGCGGAATTAGGATATTAATGAAAAAAAATAATAACAAAAGGAATCATCCGCTAAAATCAGTGCAAAATAAATTTAGGATAGTTTCATCTGAACGTCAATTAAGATGATGGGAAGAACAATTACATTCAGGTGGAAATCGTATAGGAAAATTATCTTACATCTCCAAATTTACTACAGCTGTTGAGAATTCATAGTTCATGATATCGATTTACAAAGATAGGCTTTATAAGCTCAAGAAGAAATAAGAAATTTATCATCAACAACACATTCAGATACACACACATACTCGCTCACTCATACACCATACAACCAGTAATATCGTGTAATGAAAATTTGTCACCTTTATTTATTGTATTAAAAGAAATTAATGATATATTTGGACCAAAAGCGTACAAGAAACTTTATTTACACCAATAAGGTAAGAATATTCGTAAATATTTACGATTTCTTGTAAAAAGCTATCTGTAAAAATATCGTATAAAGGTATAAAAGGTATAAAAAATACACTTCAAAATTCTTATAAATCTTACGAGAATATGTTATAAACCTTACAATATTGTTTCGAATTTAGACATAAATGTCAAAGAAATAACAGAATTAATATGTAT